ATATATTATGTAAGTTAAAAGTATTAAGTATTGTATATATTATTAATTATTATATAATAAAAAAATATGTTTAAATGTCACATTATTGACATCTACTCATTCCACTCTAAGTATTTATGATCGGGTATGGAACAATGGATTACCTATCATACAAATTAAAAAAAATGACTTCCTTCTAGTATCTTTAAATTGTATTATAATATATTTGAATGTCACATCAAAAGAAAATCAGTAAACAATAAATTTCATCTTCTCCGCTCTCTTAACTTCAAAATAAACAACGTATACATAAGTCAATCATAAGACCTGTCTGGTCTTGTAGAAAATCGCCATCTGGGGTTCCACTAAACCTGCAAACATTAGACCTATCCAGGCATTTCAATCAATTGCGTTGAGACTACCCACACCCCACGCCAAGTGGTACGTTCTAAACTATTCTCTACACAACAACTAGACAACCTAAAAATAAGTACTATCATCGAACTAGTCAAAATAATGTACAAATGCTTCCACCAACATTTAAACACACATAACAATGTATTATTTTTCCAAATGTTCACCCTTATGATCTCACCCTCCCAAAAAACCAGGAACGCAGATTATAATGCAAATAGTGTTGACTGTAAAGACTTAATAAATTAGCAAAAATAGTGTTAACAGTGATTTTTTTTTCCTCAACACGACATTTATATTATTATAGTCTATTGTAAATATCTATCAAATTTGCTTAATTTAATAATAGCACAAAATATAACAATAGTATATAGATCGTAAATTGTCTAAAAAAAAAAAATAAATGTTGTTATCATATCTATCAATTGTCGATATCATATTGTATTTACTATTTACTATTTACACACAATACACACGTGTTGTGGTGAGAATAACACTTACGACGTGTTATTAAAATATTAGACATTAATATTATTGTAGTTACAATTCGGCACTAAACCTAACCTCATACAGGCTCTTAGGTAGATTATCTTTGTCTACGACTAACTAAAAACTTATCAGTGAAAATCATTTTAGCGTGTAAAATCGTCTCTTCGAAGGCCGAAATGGATACCGACGACAAAGGATACATGATAACTTATGACCCTGTCAAAGTAAGTAAATTTCACGTTATACTAAAATTATTACAGACACATTTTATTTTAATAATCAATCCCGTGGTAATTATGTGCTGTGGCTGTGTCGACAATGTTTTAAGTACCTACATATTTACTCCACACCTTTTTATTATCTTTTATATTAAGTCATAACAAAAGTATGTTCAGCTTTAACTAAAGGTTCAGGATAAATATTGGGAAGGATTAAATGTATGAGAAAAAGAGCACAGACAAAAAGATAAAAAATCTGAAAAAATACTAAGTTTATAAGAGTTAATTATTTATTAACTGTCAAACAATTTTACAACCATGATATTACAAGAATAAAATGCAATTTATTATACAAAGTTTTAAGAAATAAAATTGTTATATTGTTTATCACATTAGGTAGGAAAACAAGTTAGTACCAATAATACAGTTACCTAATCTATTTTATTTTATTGTTTAGTGCTTAATAAGTGATGATTAATTAATTTTTATCAAACATATTATTTTACTCTTATTTTTTGTAATTTTATTTTATATCATAAGCGAATACAATAACTAAATACTGCTTTATAAATTATATCCAAATTATGTATTATTTAGGTAGACAGTTACTTTTTAAACAGCTACATTTAGGAAGTACCTATGAAATTACTGGTTGTCTATATTCAAATTTATTATAAACCATAATTTTCTACACCAGTATATTGATTTTTTTTTTAGTGTAACTAATATAAAATTTGTTTTTAAATTACAACACATTTATTTTAGGGTAAGTGTCTTGTTGCAACCAAACACTTTAAAGTAGACGATTTAATTTTCACTGAAGAACCATTCGTATCCTGTCAATTTTCTTGGAATAGTCTTTATGGTTATCGTGCTTGCAATCACTGTCTTTGGTAAATATTACCATTTTATTACTTCCTTACATTTTGTTCTATTGTATTTTTAAAATGTATTATAAGATATAAAACAATTTTATCTGGTGATATTTTACCTTTTCATAAACACTAGAAAACAACACGTAAAAACAACCTTTTTAAAAAATAAATTTAAAAAAAGGTCGTCAAATAAAGAATTTTGTTCCTATTATAATATTTATGATATAGTCCTTTAGAAACTACCTCAGAAAATATTGCCAGATTAACAAATGCAGCAATTACAGAAGTCCCATTTGAAGAATATTGTCCTGTAAAGGATAAAATACAAAATTACGTACAATGTCAATCTTGTAAAGTGAGTATTATTTTTTTCATTATTATTACAAAATTGTATCTCTTACATTATTGATCTTCTATTATTTATTATGTAATTATATAAATTGCTAATTTTTTACCATGTAATAGATAAATTTAAAAAGTACAAGCTTATAATATAACATTTGAATGTTAGGTTTGGTATTGCAGTTCTATGTGTTTGGAAACTGCATATAATCGTTATCACCAACTTCTTTGTAGACCAGACAGCAATGATCCATTACATCATTTAGAAGAATTATGGAGGTATATTAATTATTTAATAATTTTTGTTTATGTATAATTTATTTTAGTTTTACAAAAAAGGAAAGAAACATTCTTAATAGATAATAGATTTATTAAACATATTAATTCAATATAATTTAAAGTAGGACATAATGGGATACATTTGTAAAGTTTTTAAAGCCTTATTTATATGAAATTTGTGTATTATACACATAATAATAAATTTTTTTTTATTTATCATTATGTATAGGACAATGCATTATCCTCCTGAAAGCCACAACATCATGTTATTGTGTCGTTTGCTGGCAACAATTGAATTATCTGCATCACCACAACAGGCTAATCAAACAGTTTCTAATGTAAATCAATATTCTATTACTTATTCAAAGTTTTAACTATAATTATTTGATATATTTATTTTACAGTTTTGTCATCGAACTGAAAACGAAAATGAACATTTAGTACATAAAATGCTCGGAGAAAAGTTTGTTGAGCAAATTGAACAACTACGTTTTGGTGTTTTAAAGTCCATGCCAGTTAGAGAATCCAGTCAAGTAAAGATAAAATAACATTCAACTTATGAATCAGTTCATTCTAAAATAAAATATTTGTAGTGGTTAACACCAATTGGTTTTAAATCATTATTGGCATTGATTGGAACAAATGGTCAAGGTGTGGGTACAAGTGTTTTTCATCAATGGACAAATAATTGTAAAAAACATCTTTCTTCTGATCAAATGGAATTATTTGAACAATTTGTAGACAACACTTATGAAGCAATGGAACAAGGTTATTTTTTTTCTAATTAAAAATAGTTGTTACATAATGATTAGTTTGCAAAGAGCTAATATTTTTATTGTTTATATAATATAAATGTTATCCTAAAATATTATATTCTAATATTCTTAGGCGTAAATATGGGCAGGTTGAAGCTAAGATGATTTTGACATCCCAATATTTTTTTGTGTTTACATAATAAAATGTACGCTAATAAATAGTGCTCAAAAGTAGAAAATTTTATGAACTAGAATACTCATAAAATTAATGTACCTTAATATAATACATTTTTTCATTGTTTTGATGTTGTTAATTTTTACAATCACAATTATTAAACATACATATATACAGGTGGTTAAAAAACAAAGTTATCTAAATCCGTTATTAATAGTGACTGTAGTTACCGGTCTAATTGTTGCAATTTTCTAAAATTTTATTTTTTTTTTTTAAATAATTATTAATAATTTTAATTTTATTGATTGTGATTTTGTCAGTAAAGTCTTACTGAGTTGCATTTTTTTTTTTTTTTTGAACGTTTACTTTATATTTTTCTGATCCTAAACCCTTAAATTCTAATTTAACCAACCAGAAAGTTAATATTACAAACCGAAACGCTGTTCATGTATATTCTCGTCCATTTTAAGCACTGATTAAAAGAAATAACAGCTCGTCATCAGACATAAGAGTATTAATAGTTAAACTGAGTTTACCAATTAATAGACAAATGAAAAATTGATTTTTAAGACTATACAAGTATACTTAGATTAAAGTAAAATAATTAAATGTAAATGTATTATACATTTTTTTTTTTTTAACATTATTAATTATAATTAAAATACCAAGAAAATGCAGAACTTAGCACTCTTAACTTTTTATTGAAAGTGTGTTTATGCTCATTGTGTTCTATAAAAAGTGTCTAAACATTTAAATCATTAGTAGTCACTATCACTAAAATATCTTTAAATACTTTGCCAGGCTTATAATTATTAAATTATGCATGATTTTTGTTTTAAATAGTTGTTGGAGTGGATTTTTTGGATAATGAAGGTTCTGCTTTATTTCAAGAACATAGTTCTATTAATCATAGCTGTTTCCCAAATGCAGCAAGTGTTTTTGATGGTAACCATGTTCTGAGATTGATTGCCATTAGAATGATAGAACCTGGTGACGAAATAAACACTAGCTATATTGCTCCATGTGAATTAGACCACAGTAGACATACTAGACAAAAATATTTACAGTATGTTTATCATATTATTATGTTATCTTTGCAATTTAAAGACTTAATTTGTTTTTATTCAGAGAAAATTATGTTTTTACTTGTCGGTGTATGAAATGTGAAGAACAAATTAATGAACCAGACATTACAAGTGATGATGATTCAGAAATGGAAGATGATTATAGTACCTGAGTATTTGTTTGAAATTTATTACTCTAAAATAAAATATCTTTAAAATAATTTTTATTATGTTTACATTATTAAAATATTGAATTATTTAGAATATTTTGATTAACATAAAAAATCCTAAATAGTATTTTTTTTCTTTTAATTTAACGATTTATTTTCAATTAAAAAGTTAAAAATATTGAGATACAGAGTAAAAAATTTATCATAAAATATATTAACAATTCAATCTTTTTATTAATTATTCAAATAAGGATTTATATATTATCCAAGTAACAATAAATTGTTTATATTTATACTGCGGAAATTGGTTTTTCTAGAACAATTAAGTTATTGCTATGTTCAGCTAATTCTGTTAATGATACTCTTCCACGTTTTTTGATAAATGAAGCAACTGCATCAAGTTCAGGTTGTGATATATAAATAAACTTTCCTCTATCATCAATTACACCTAAAATAAAAATAATTTATTTAATTGAAAAACAAAATAATAAACATAATTTTAATTTACATACCAGTTAATGAACCTTGTTCTAATAAACTTTGAATCCTATCTATTACAACTTGAGTTTTTAATTTAAATTTTAAAGCAAGCTCATCTAGAACAATTACTTTATTTTCCTGAAATCAATAAAACAATAATTTATTCAGTTATTTTCACATTGATTTCATTAAATTCTTATCTGTTAATTTATTTCAGTAGTTTATAATGTATTCATAGGCATGTATACCTCTATCTGGCAGGGGGGGCAGAATGTATATAATATAATATAATATATAATTGAATATTATTTTGGTTATTAGTTGAATCAATACTAGTGATGGAAATATTTTAATTTTATATATCATTAATTTAACTAAAAATGTAATTATTAAATAATCAAATAATTGAAACTTCAAAGTTTATTTATATTATATTAATATGCAAATTTTAGCTCTACTTCTTCAGAGCACCATTCCTCTCGGAAGATGTTAATATTATGGGCCAATTTATGTTCAATTGGCATGGTAAGTAGTCTATCTAGTTGATCCTGATGCATTGTACTATGTAATTTTGTTTTAATTAAAATTAGTTTTGAGAATGCCCTTTCACAAGAACAACTAGTCACAGGAATAGTAACAAATATTAGCATTTTAAATATATTATTAAATATAGTTTCCCTTCCACTACCAAACTCTGTTATCCATTTTATTCGTGTATCATAATTGTTTATGTTATTTTTGAGTACATTATCTGCATGTTGAAGTAGACTTATTTCACTTTTTAACATTTCAGTTTCCAAACCAAAGGCTTTGGTTAAAATGGTGATATCGTTGTCATCAACATTTAATTCTAGTATATTGGCAATACTTATTATTGTATTCTAAGTTTCTTGATTAAATCATCATGCACTCCATACTCAATGTTTAATATATTATTCATTATAATATAAAATTATATTATGTTTTTCTTTAAATTATATTTGAAAAAAATCTTCACCCGTAGGAAGGACAGCTTACCCCTTGGTGCATACGTTTATGAATATACTCAATTCAGAATAAAAATTGACCAGTTTCATGCACTTGTAATCTGCAACGGATATTGTGTTCCCTCCCCATGAAAAACTGCTTCATAATTAATTAACCATTGTTTTTGTTAATACAAAGGCGAAATTATTATTCACGCCGAGTAAAGCATGTATTAAACACATTCAAGTTCTTGTCTGTAGTTTGGTGTACTCTTATTTATTTGAACAGTCTATACTCTATAGCTTTTGAATTTTGTAAACTAAAAATGATCCGGTATAAAATATACTCATTTAATGCTCAAATCTTTATTAATGAACTGAAAATACTTACACTTATTCTTTATTAAAATTAATTAAATTTTAAAATATAAATCAGTGGATATCAATAAGGTGTAAAGTAAGTATAAATATTGTATATACTAGGCAGTGTGCCTATTTTCCATCTCTTCGGTTCTAAATGATTGTTAAGTAAACTGTATTTTAAAATAGTTCATTTATTTTATTTAATTCAAATATACAAGGGCTTGTAAAAGTGTTGCTGTGGACTCAATGGCTCTGGTACATCTGAATATGCTGTGCTGAAGGCTTTCTTACAATTATTCACAAAACCAATACACGCAATACTTCTTCCATTAGTTGGAAGGTCAATATATTGTTTGCGCCATTGTGAATGTGTGGTTCCGGTGGTTCGACATCTGCTGTTTCATCCTTCGAAAGTTATTTTTATAAGTGAAATTTGTGTGAGTTAGTACAAGTATAATGCCTTATCATTGTATGTGTTGTATGGGTCAAACCTAGTATATGGTAATCAAATTTTTGATTCCATTTTCTACGTATTTAATACATTATGATCTAATAAAAACAGTTCAAGGATTCATAAATATATTAAAAAATCATATTTTCTAATAATATAATATATAGTTTTAAAAATTGGTCATAATTAGATAACTCATTACAACTTATATAGTAGTATCTATTAAAGTATGATAAAAAAAATTTTCTTTGAACTGCTTATTAGGTGTGACTGTATCTGTTTTCACTATATTACAAATGTATTACATAGCAAATATGTGTTTAGTAGAATTTACAGATTTATAAAATTAAAATGTCAACATAAGTTCACGAAATGGGACATGGCATGACGTAATGGACGCACTAGTAGCCTAACGACACTGACATTATGATGCTAGTGGCTGTTTTTAGTTCCGAATGGATGATCATTTGCAGATAAACACACACACTGTGTTCTACCTAACCATAATAATTATAAGATAAAAATTGTATCTAGCAAAAATCTTCTCTAACAAAAAAGAAAAATGTATGAAATGCCCTAGATAATATTTTAATGTTTAACACATTGACTGCATAACATTTGAATTGATTCTAATTTAGTCAGCATTAGGAAACTGGCTTATTATTTCATCAGCGTCATTGAATATATATGCGTTTGAGAGTTAATCCTAAGTTTTCCTACATTTTTTTAAGTTAATTAATTTGTTCATACCCATTAGGAAATACAAAATAGTACCTATGCAGTGAACATGTTAAATTTGATTATTAACTAAATATTGAAATTTAAAATAACATAAAATAGAATCTCCTGACCACAGATTTTATATGTTACACATTTGAAAGATTGAGAAACCACATACAGTTATAAGAATCACTTAACTTGATCATAATAATTTAAGAGCAAGTGAAGTGATTACTACTGATTAAATTTACTAATAATAATGGTTTCTAACCTGAATATAATTAATGAATTGTTCTAATGTTCCATCTTGATTTTCAAATGTCTCTTCATAGCCTTGTTCTACTACTCCCATTTGCTCTTTTAAATTCAAATACTCTAAAGCCTCTTTTCTTTTTTTTTCTTTTTCTTTTTCCTCTTCTAACGCTAATTTCTCCAGTTCTTGTTTCTTTTCATTATCTTCTTTAGCTTTCCTTTCTGCATCTAATGCTTCTTGCCTTTTTTTACGATCTTCACGTTCTTGTAAATCAGCCTATAAATAACATTTATTGTTTAAGTGATAAATTCAATCTATGTTTATACAGTGTAAACAAACTTCTCGTTTGGCTTTTTTCTCAGCTTTGGCTTCTAACTTTGCTCGTTTTTTAGCTCCTAATTTTGGATCTATAACAGCTACAACAGTAGGATCAACTGTAGCATCTTCATTCTCAACATTTTCATTTCTTGGCACTAAATTAAGATTAAAATATAATATTTTTCTAACATACACCAAAATATTTTTTTTAAATTTTTAAATAACTTAATATTAATTTAAGACTTACCTACAACATTACGATTGTTTCGACGCAACGTGTTACGATTTTGTATACGGACCCCAGATCTAGGTCTAACTACAGGATCTTCTTGTGCAGCATTTTCAGGTCCACCTAAAAACGTTTTATAACAATTTTATTTTACTCTCAAATACATAAACAAGAATTAGTACTAAGGTATGAACCCACTTTGAAAAAATTTATATCGAAATATAAAACCAAACAATCCAACAATGACTGATGCGGAGAATATAGAAAGTAAAACTAAAAGATCCATTGTACAACAAAGTAATACGATAACCAATTTATTTCACTTCCAACTTTTAAATTTCAATAAATCGAAAACTAATAAGTCAAAACTCAAAACTTGACTTTCCTAACAAAAAAAAATGAAGATAGGTACAAAATTAAAAATTTAAATCTTATTTACTATTACTACTACCGTCTACCACTACCACAGAACTACTACCTGGCAGTTGGTATCTCGGTAATCAGTATCTATCATTTTCGGCTTTCGCCAGTCATTTCGGGATATCAGTTACGCCAACCTTAGAACAATAATTTAAAATAATTAAAATAATAATAAATGCATAAATTAATACAATTATTGCTTAAGTTCAAAATTGCATAAAACGGGGCATTAGTATTTACTATTAGCAGAGGCGTTGTTGTGGAGGGCAAAGGTATCATAATGCTGTATAATACTCAAATCCCATTGTCTCCAATTATTAAATATCTTGTACTAACGCTCGACAGTCGTCTTAATAATTGGGCTCACCATATCAAAGTCAAAAAAATAACAACCAAATAATTCCCGTTTACGAATGCTAAAATCAATAATAGTCAACAATAAACACACAAAATTAAATATGAAACTACTTATCTACAAATCTTTTCCTTAAAACAATCTGGACTTACGAATTACAGCTATGGGGAAATGCAAAAATATCCAAATTAAATAATATAGAGAGTTTCCAAAGCAAAACATTGAGAAAAATTACAAGCTCCCTTAATTACGAATAATTGTATCAAATCATACTGAAAACAGTGATCTATAAATGAAAATTATAAAAGAAGAAGCAAAAAGCTTACAAACGTTTCCACCAACGTCTAAATTCTCGCTCAAATCCACTCACAAGGAACTTGGCTACAATACATATCCCCAGCATGGACGGTGTAGGCCTAGGGACCCAGGCCCCTTTCAGGCATATTATGGTGGATAAATATATATATTGGAAAAATCGAAAATGTAAATAGAGGGTTAGATTTTATTATTTAATTTATAAATATTATATTATATTAAATAATCAATAATTTATTTATTACATTAATTACCATCTATACCTAATATTATGACAAAAATTTTAAATTATGATTAAAGTACTAATAAAAAAATGTTTCCCCCCCCCCAGATCCTAACCTTGCTCTGGATCCGTGGCTAATACTTGGAAATCCTTGTCATATCCTATATTTTTATAGAATCTATAATTTTACGAATGGATCTTCACAGAAAAAATTCCAAATTATTCTAATATGGCGTCACTACTCACTACACTATTATTACAAAATATATTACTTATTACAAAAGTATATTATTAAGTAATTCAGTGTAATAGTTCTAATAATAGTTAAAATAAAATAGGTAAGTCAAAATTCATTGTCACAACTTATAACGTAATAACGTGTTAATTATAATAATTAATAATTAAGTATAATAATAGTTCAATCAGAATTCACTTTCATTACATGCTAATAATAATAATTTATAAGTATATATTATAATTTAATAAAAATGTTATTCTTTTATCAAAAAGTAAGTATGGACAGTATGGTCATTTGTTGAGTGGATATTATTTTCATTTTTGAATTAAAAGTTTCACCACAATCATTACAAGTATAAACCTTTTGTTTACATTCCTTCCAAAAAAAATATTGAAAACATAATGTTATAATTAATCAAATACCTTTATTACAATATCGACATGTTTTTTTTTTTTGTATATGCTTATTTAAATTATAAATTGTTGAGTATTTATAATTATAGTAAATGCACACATTACTAGAACTCATGATAAATAATAATAAATGTTAATAAAATAACCGTTTACTTAGTATTATATTATAAATTGAAACAATCTTTGTATTGGTATAATGTGCAATATGCCAACACACCTATGCTGTAAAACAAATAATATATACAATTATTATAGTTCTCTTTTATATCATAATAGTTAGGTGTACTTATGTTTGGTTTGAAAGGCGGTAAAAATTCAAAATTATTTTGTGATATGAATAACATTTTGTGATGAGCAATATATTTTGTGATAATGGTGTAGTGACGCCATATTGGAATAATTTGGAATTTTTCCTGCGAAAACCCATTTGTCTTTTTTTTTGTTCTTATCAGATTTTCTTTTATCACTTGGTACTCGTTCCACAAAGCATACATGCCATAGTGCCATATTTATTACATTAAATATGGCCAACGGTTGTTACTCTTTTCACGTTTTAACGTTATTGTTATTATAAATCATAAAAATATGTATCTTCAAAAATAGTGCAATTATTTTTTATGTTAAATAGCCAATTATCGGAAAGCAAACAGGTTAGATGATTAAAACTTATTTCATTTATTATTATTTACTGCTATTTTTATTTGTATTTTAATCTGGATAATGATTTATAAATTTATAATCATTTTTATATTTCGTTTAATCAATGTGAATCTAACCTTTTGTAATTTTTATATTCAATTTACTAAGTGTAGAACTATAGAACAAGATCATTCTTAACTTATATAAGTTCACTATATTATGGATTGTTTTGTAATATTGGTAATTTAAACATGTTTTTTTTTATATTTAATTGTATGATATTGAAAATAAAATTAGTATTATCAAATACGGCATTGTAATCTTAGTAGCTATTGACAGCAAACAAAGGTACAATAGAATGATTATGAAGCTTTCAGCAGTTTACTCATAATTCCTTTAGTCTCTGTGATCTATAGAAATATGATAATAATATGTCATATTTTATTGATTTCAGATATCTTTGAAAAAAATTACCTATTACAATAATTATTTTAAAATAACTAACATTTTTGAAATTTTATCTAAACCTTGTTTCAGTTGCCTATAAGAACAATACACCACTAAAAATAATAATAAAGAGAATTTTAATATAAAATTATAAAAACAAAAATAAATAAATTAATAGTTTTTAAACTTAAATAATTATTGCTATAAAATCCAAATTCTTATAATAGGTTATTTTACTCTGATTAATTGAAAACCATAAAAAAGAATTTTTCATATATATGTTTTCATTATGTTACGTATGGATCAGAAAGAGAAAAAACAAATATCTCCTATGCCAGATTATCTAAAAATTATTTTAGTTATGTTTCCCCAAATATTTTAATGTTAATATTAAATTTTGTTCCTATTTATAAGTTTATAATAGTTTATGGATCTTATAGATCTTATTTAACTGTTTTATTATTAACGCATAGCAAGGCCTGATTAAAAATTTGGTCACCAGTAGGCTAGGGTTGATATGGCGTCCTTATGAAGGATCAGAGAAGGACTATAGAAACGTATAAACATTAATTTTTTTTTATTTAAAATAAAACATATATGTTTGATAACATAATATACAAAAGCATTTAAAATTTTAAAATTTATGATTGAACTGATTATTATTTATTATAAAATTAAGTTTTTGTTTTACTCTACACTTTTACATGAAAAAAGTTTTTTTCCTTTATTTTAACGTTGCAAAAGACTACTATTTCATCGAAAATAATATTTTTCATGAATTATCTTTCAATAAACTAAAGTGTAAGGGTCTTCGTTTTAACTTATCACTATGATAAAACTAGAAATACCCAACATCGACTACGATAAAACACAATTATTACAACCTAGATGTAATGAAATCACAAATATTTAATTTTCAATTATATATGAATTACAATTTGTTATAAAGGACCCAAGTTACATTTTAGACAAAAATAGTCTTGTTGTTTATTATTCATTCTCTTATGTAAACACATAGTTTTGTGTTAAAAAGTACCTATTTTGTATCATCTTGTCTGTGCAAAATTATGAAATATTTCATAGTTTGTTAAAATTTTATTATTTTTCCTCGTATTCCATATAAGATTAATAATAAAAATTTAATAGTTTTATGTGCTAAATTCTGATACATTGGGACAGTTAAAAAAAATAGTTTTACCTTTAATTGAAGTATATATTATGTAAATGTTCTTCATTCTTAGTAAAATTATTTTGTGGCCCCCCTTCCCCAATTTAACATTGGCTGAATAGTGCCCTAGGCTGTAGTCTACTCAGCCTATTGGTTAATCAGGCCCTGACGCATAGTGAATGACAAGTAATTTTAATATGATATTAAAATGTTTGCTATTATTAAAAAAAAAGAAAGAACTTAAAAAATTATTACAATGATAAATAAAAAATATTAAACATTAAAAAAAAAAAAAAAGTGTTTTATATAGTTTGATAGTGATTCAATATTATGTAAAAAAAATTATTTTCAAAAACATTAATATTTTTTGAAAAAATAATTTAAAAGAAACAACTTGTATTATTATAAATTACTTAGATTTTTATGTTTAAACAAAAAGTAGAATTTGTTTACAAGCAGTACTAATTACCAATTATTAATTATTATTAATATTTTTATAAATCAAAATTTTGCATAATTAATAATATATTATACTTTATATTATAAGATATAAAATATTAATTAAATAAATTTATGGATACATTTCTTAGCATATAAATGATTTATTATTTACTAATTTATATACCTTTTTGTTTTAGAAATGGCTCCAAAAAAGAAAACTAGTGCGTTTTTAGTATTCATGGCAGAAACTCAACAATCATTATTAAATCAAGGGATTAAAGTAAACATGGCTAATATGTCGAAGTATTGTAAAACAGATTGGGAAAAAATGCCTGATCAGATGAAAGAAAAGTATAAAATAAAAGCTAAAAATATGAAAGGTAATGAAAAAGCAGCCAAATTTACTTCAATTGGTGAAAAGGTAGAAGATATTCAAAAACAATCAGTTGATAGTAAATTACAAGCAAATGCTATGTATGAATATATAAAAGAATTGCTTGATATGCAACCATCTAGTTATTATCTTCCTAAGCAAAAATTCATTTTGATTCATATAAACCCTTATACATGCGAGAAAGAAGGATTTTATTTTCCTGCTGAGATATCTATGGCCGAGTTTTCTTTAGAAAAAGGCTTAATACGATTTTTTCATAAATTAATTGGATTTGATCAAATCAGAACAAGTGCTCCGAAAGCCTCAACAGGAGATATAAATAGTCATGCTGCTAATAATCATATGATAAACGTATTCTCAATATTACCAAATAATTACACAGAAATATTATTAAAAATTATTGGTAAATATTAAATAATAAAAATTATTTAGTTAATGTATTTTTTTTTCAAACTAATATTGAAATGTATGGTTCTTATTTAGGTTTTATCATGAACAAAGAAGTTGATGAAGCTGTGCTAAATGACACAACATTAGACATGCCACCAGTCTATACTGCACACACGTCTATTGGAAATGAATTAATGATTACTAGTATTAGTTTGTATAAATTGTTTGAAAGTGCAGTAATGGATGCTGAAAGACATGATTTCAATAATATTATTAGAGTTTACCATTTGGATAAACTATTTATGGAACTAAAAAATAGATGTCATCAAATTAGACATCCAGAAACAGATGATCTAGCTATACCTTCTGTTGCAATGGCTACTGATTATTTATCAAAAGATGTGTTTAGTACAATAAAATCAATTGGTTGTAATTATCATGAAAAACTGGAAAACTCTCATGCTTGTAGTAACTTTTTTGTGTGCAAGTGGATACACATTTTATCAGCTCATTGTTGTCGCTATTTTAACATAAAATTTGAATCTGGTTGCCATTATAATTTTGATATATCAGAAATAAAAAATCCAACCGAAGAAAACTTTGATAAGTTTAATATTTCAAAATTTTCTGATTTGTACATTGATATAGAAACAGATAAACCGAAAACTTTAGCAACTAATAGTTTTCCAACACTTAAAGGTACTTCAACTACTGTTAATCAAAAACCGGTATGGAATAAACCAGAATGTAAAGTAAATACAAATAGTAAAACTATAACAAAGGAAGTAAACAACTTTCCTCCACTTGGTGATTCGAAAACTATTCAAAAAAATACCCCTTCAACTGAAACTAATAGCTGGAGTAAGAATGCTGGTCGTGGCAGAGGTGTTATTAGCCAAGTTCAAAGTAATAGTCAAAACCAATTAAATGAAAACTCAAAGCAACTAAACAAAGGAAGAGGATTTTTTGTTGATAAAAATAAATAGGTGAGATATAATAATTATGAAATCATTCATTACTAAAATTTTAGTATCTAACTTCAATAATAAAAACAATTTTTTATATAAAAACAAATATTTTATAATGTGATAATTAAAAATTGATTGATTTTTAAGTATGAAATAAATATTTTTATTACTTAAAACCGGTTGTTTTAATGCATTAAAGATTAAAAAAACAATACATGAACATAATAACTTTATATTTTACAAAAAAAAAAAAAAATTATTATTAATAAACATGGCTATATAATTAGTTGTCTAGAAATAAATACTAACCATTTAAATATTAATAAAGTGATCTATTACTACATTTGTATCAGATACCAATCAAACCAAGGCAGATATTTTGTAAACTAGAGCACAAATTATCATTTTGTACAGTAACAACCTTCATCATCAAATTCTAAAGCTAACCCCACAAATCCTATAGTCAAGTAAAATCCTCTAAAAAAAAAATGTATACATGTTATAATTAAAAGCATACTAATAAGTAATAACTAAGTAATTATACAAATTGTATAGTTTTGCAATTTAACTAAATATATTTTAAGTTAAACTCAAGTAATAATGGACTTTTCCAAAATTTAATAGAATTTCTGTGAATAATATACCTAGCCACCTAGAATAGAATGGAATTTTACATTTCTGAATTTTTAAAGAATTCAGTGGTTTTGAATTTGAATTGAAAAACAAAGTTTAAAAAAGAAAACAGACTTTTATTTGTTAAGTACACTGCTTTATTTATTTACCTATTAACAAATAATGAAATATTAGTCTCACAATTAACACTGTATGTCCATAATTTTATGACACAATTGTATATATCTTACCAAATTAAAAATATTAATCAAATCAAAAAATACTATCTTAAACAGTCAAATTCTTTTTTATGGGTTTTCCTGCTTAATTACTTTAGTAATAACTTAAATTACTGCTTTTATAATTAAGTAATTTTCTTTACAAACTTGTGTAACCCAAGTTAACTTTTTTGCTGCTTTTGTTAACCACAACATTTTTGAAGCTCCTCTGAATATTTAAGTCGTTTAAAAATGTAAATTAAATTAATAAATAAAAAAAAAATTTTAATAATTCATCTAATCAGAATAGTTGTGGGGAATTATTCAATAATGACAATAACTTAATAGAACAATAATTAGACATTATTTTCACTTGATGATATTCAATTAGAAAATTATACAAAAATATTATTGCCATAAATATTTTAACTTATTAGTTTAAATTTTGCTTTTGGGGGCTTTTAGCATTAGGAAACTTTGACCAACCTTGGCTAGCAACACCCGTTACCCGTTGTTTAATATAGTATTATTGTTATTATTTGTAAATTGTTAATTACTTGTATAATGTATAAACAATAAACGATGCTACATAGGGCTAAATAATGTGCAAACAGTTAGACCCCATATTACGGTTCAAATAAAAAAAAAAGAGACCAACTATTCTATCTTTACCCCCCTCCCCCCATGAATTTGGTTGATAATCTGTATAATATAAATACTAACACACCTATGATAAAGTTATAAAATATCATTTCCATGGTAGTATCATTCAATATTATAAACGTAAAAAAACAATATACTGAATGATTCAACAAATATGCTCATTCCTGTTTTCCTTTAATAATTCAGTTATTTAAAATCTGGTTTTTTAAATATATTTAAAAAGTATGTTTTTAAATTATTGATATTTTTGTTCCTGTGTGAAGATACAAATTACAAATTTTATTTTCAAATGAGAACTTTCCAATTCTAGCAATGATAATTTTTTTAAAAATCTTAAGATAAGTAACTTAACTAAATTTGTATGATTAATTTTTAAGTAATTACATTTTGTGTAGGTACTAAGGATAATAGTTTCATGATAATAAATTTGAAAAATATGACTAGATGAGGAGCTACAACACTATGAGGATTTAAAAAATTAATAAATTTAAATTTATTAGTAAATGTTATTTATAAAAATGGTTCATGTATAATAAATACTAGATTCAATATTAAATATATTTTATATTATTGTTAAACCATTTTATAAGGATTATTAACCTTAGTATATAAACACTATTTGTTTGAATTTTGAATAAAATACATCAACATTTTTAAAAAATTAATCCACTAAATAATTTACATTAAAAAGAGTTTAAAAAAATTAAAAAAAATAGAAGTTTACATTGCCTTAAAACACCTGATTTCTTAATAACTATGAAAACATTTAAGAATTTAAAAGTTTCAAACATCAAAATTTGAATAAATTAATTATTAAATGAAAAATGAAAATAAACATGCTTGGTGGATGACCTTTCATAACACTAAATAACATTATTTTACAATTTAAAACTCGCATTTTATACGATCCTGAACAACTGGGAGTTGTGGTATTGTATTATATAATAGTAGTACAATAAACATATCAAACACGGAGGTGTCGAAAGCTAGTTTATAAATTATAATCATTAGTAGATAATTAATAATTGTTGGGTTTTTACCTGTTATGATATACTTAAGTAAATTTCAGATTTCTACTAGATACCTACTTACGTATTTTGTGTGTTTGTCATTATTATTTGCATACATCGACATATTATACCGAATAATTGATGAGTATACCAAATTATGGTATTATATTATAGTATTTAATGATTTGTACACCTATTCAAGAAAACATTTAAATATAATTATTTAATAACGATAGTAACTATCTGTTCAAATTCAAACTCCTTCAATTTCCCTAAAATTTTGTTTTGCGATAGTTATCACTTATCAATAAGGTAAAAGGCCAAACTTTTGAAATAATAGGCATTGACAACACAGATCCCTGCTTCGTTCATGGCCGACTTCATGCTACATATTCTCAAGTTAGTTCAGCTGCTCAGCAAATGATTAATAAATTTTATTGCGTCTTATTAAAGAACAAATAATTCTCTAAATCTTCAAAGTACGCGATCGTATGATCAGGGCATCATATATCAAATAGAATTTTCAGAGACAAAAACAAAATATTCAAATATTATTTGTGATTTTAAATTTTCAGATAATATTTAGTCAATATTAAGTAATTATCAAAACCTATTACTACTGAGTACTGGCCCCTATATTGCAGTGAATAAACCTATATTAAATAATCATAAAATTCGGATTTCCATGACTCCGTTATAGAAATATAATAATTTTATACTTGCTATTATTATTATTTATTTTTCTATTTGTTTTATGCAGTAGATTGAACTAATTTTTGCCAAACATCAATTGCATTGTTTATTGTAGCTTGTAGATACGGTACTCGTAGCTCGAAGGTACTAATAGGTATAAGTAATATTTTACTATGTCGTACTTTCTACACCTATACTTTATAATAAAACGACTATCTATTTTCCCTTTTTAAAAAAAATAAAATATCCAATTTAGTTGAAATTGTATATAAAAAAAATTATACATATCTTAATTTATTTTAGTTCCTATTAGAACAACTTATAAGAAACCTTGTATTAAGTTGTCAAGGTTTTTTACTCACTTACATTTAATCATTAACATGTTCCTACCAGATTTATGTAAATCGAATAAAATTAAATTTTTTAATATTTTTAGATAATTCAATAAAAGGGCATAAAGACTTAAGATCCAAAATTTTGAAACTTAATGTAAGGTTAATACAAAAGAGTTCAAATTCATAATAATGTGCCTATTCATTTATATTTAATTACAATTGGTTATTTTTAACATCACAAAAATGTTTTTAGTATACTTTTAGAAAAATGGTCATCAAAATTTTTACCAATGGAATGCTAATTATATAGGTACATACCTACAAGACACGGATGCACATCATACGTGTTTTCATAATAAAATTATAAAAATACTTATCTAAGAAATAATATTTTCTAAGATTATAAAAAAAATGTATTAAGAAAACAGTTAAATTACTAATCCATCATTCCCATATCTAGCATTTTTATTATAATCTGCAGTAATTGTATAGATGTAGACAAGTATAATTTTTTTAAAAATGTAGAACTGCAATGTGAGGAGTGGGGGATTTCATAGTACTTAGCTAAATAATATCGTATTATCGTAGGTCGAAGGTATAACAGTTTTTACGGTTTATAGTATTTTAACTACTACGATTTTTGATATTTATGATATCACGTTTGACGTTATAGGTAGTAGTACTTTATGGAATTTAAAGATTATTATATAGTTTATTTTATTATTTGTTACTTTTAACCCATTTTTATTGTATGCGTGTAATATATGGATTACCGCGGTATTAAGATACCACGGTCTACAATAATGATGATTGGCGAGTCTAAAAGGAATTAAATAATAAGTTGTGGAAGCAACCGGTTCGACGGGACCAGATGAAATAAACTTATATATTATTATTACTTATAATGTTATTTATATAATATTAAAGATATATATTTATATAAATTATATTTTAAAACCCGAAGTAGTAATACACTGTAAATCGATAAAATAATATTTTTGAAACGATCACGATCACAATCAAATTATAATTTATTTGTTTATATCTTGGGTTCTGGTTCCTGCAAGGCAACCTGCTAAGCCACCCAAGCGCCATTCCTGAGTATACGCTTACAATTTAACATTTTTGCCAATCGCTACACTAGTAGGTACCTATTATAATATTTTGTTTTTTAATTTAAATTAACTTGTTTACATCGATAAAATATTAGTCTTGACAATTTTACATTTTCGATATTAAAAAATCAATAGTATTTACGCACATAAGCATGCGCAGACTTCAATTTCCGGTCGAATTTGGAACAATTAATGCCTTAATACTCGGACAGTGCAACTATATTTTTTTTTTTTAACACATTAATGTACATTTTAATTGTAAATTAAAAACTATGTAAATAGAATCAAGTTGTATGTGCACACAACATTAAGTTGCTAATTTCTAGACATATATTTTTGAAGTTAAAAATTAAATGATTTAAATATAATTATGCATAAAAAGAAAAAAACACAATACTCAAATGTAGAAACTTGGTTTAATGGACAAAAAATTGTATATACATAATATTAAATTATATAATCTCAATTATAATAATTTTAATTAAAGAATTATAAACGAATTCTCAAATTTCCAATATTTTTGAATTCGTCAACGACCATGTTAATATAAATACTAGATTAGTTTTGGTTCAGTAAATATTAATAATAAACTATTAAGTGGTCTTGATGTATATTGTATAGTACTCCTTAATTTATGTAATACTATTGTTTGATTAAAAAATACCCGTTCGCAGAAACAACTTGTAACTGGTTTAATTACACTGAACAATTTCAGTACCTAGATACAGTGAAAAATGTATTAATTTGGTTGAGATTTTATTATGCCTCTAAAAAGATTCCGGTCGAGCTCCGGCTCGTTCTGTACTGCACACACCTATGTACCTATACCTACACATTTAATATATATATATCGGTTTATTAAATTATGGAAAAAAATTATTTTTAATTTTAAAACTAATATGGTCGTGCAAAACATATTGTGGAAAAAATAGGCAATGATAATTTATGAATTCAAGAAATTAATAGAGTTTGATAGACTGAGAATTAACTGCAATATTTAAGAAATTAATTTAAACGAGAGAACTTTTGCATTGAGAAAACATTTTAGGGTAGTTAAGAAGAATGTGTAGAATGTCGCTGATGGCTGGAGAATCAGATATGGCGAGCACAGACAGTTGAATTATCTGGGGTAAATTTATATGAGTGCAACATAAGTGGTTGGTTGAATATCTTTGTTCAAAAGTCCAAAACGAAGGCTAACAGGCTAAGAGGAATTGATTTTTTCTCTGATCCTTGTACTTAATATTTTTGAAAGCTTTATACAAAAATCTTAATTTAAAAATATATATTTATTCATAGATTAAAATATCAAAGTGACATTATGTACCTATATAAAATATGTAATAAGAAAGTTGGTATATCAAAATTTTAAAAATTATAAATTTATTTCAACGGGTCTCTGTACTTCAACTTCTACCCCTTGTGGTGGCTCTGACGAGCCTGACCAGGATTAAGGGATTAGAGGCTGGTTGAACCGTTGAACGAGATAACGTAATAGGTAATATTAAAATAAAATGTATTGTGTGTGTTGTGGTTGTCTGCGGTGAGCAATGGCCAATGGCCAATCACTAATCAGTATCAGTGACAATTATTCAGTTATAACTCGTTTACTCCTCGTGTCTCGTGCTCTCGTCGTGGTAGTATTATTTAATGGTGGAGGTAGTTGCAGTAGGTACTAGTGATAGGTAATACATGCCACATGGCTCTCCGTAGTACACACTGATTGAAGTGACCATAGTAGTGACTATTTTTTTTTATAGTGAGTACACAGTGTACACACGTTCCACGTTGTCCGTACTCCATATTTTATCAGCTGGTGTCGCATCGCATCACAGGAGCGGTAGTCAGTAGTCAGTAGTCACTCGCCAATCGCCATTCGTTTACCGTCACTCAGTAATTAGTCAGTATTCGCTCCTGTGGTCGCCGGTTACTATCACTTGATTGTTTGACGCCGACTCGACGTTAGTTATTTGTCTTACACGCTGCCGGCCAAGCAATTTTTATAACTATGGAGGTAAGCGATTTTATTTTGTTTACGTTTTGTTGTTAATCGTTGTGACGCTGTTGAGTAATGACCCCTTCCCCCCTCAAAAAGTACGAGTAAAACTATTCCGAAATGGTGAGAGGTTATATTTCTTAAATAAATGCTGGAGACCTTTACCCCCCCCCTAGGATTTTCCCTTTACTACAACCTCTAAAATAATAATAGTGGTCAATAATTTTCCACTGATTGGTTAACACATTCCTGCCTCAAGTTTTATTTTTTTGAGTCTAAAATTGTGTATAAATTATATTATTATTCAATCTTGAGTTTTTAGAGTATCTACTTGGACTTTATTTCATATTTACACTTGTGTGCATGACACACGTAGACCCAGTGTGTATATACTGTAACGTCCAATGTTTGAGTTTCAAACGATTACGTTTAAATTTTAGTTTACAAACAAATACAAATAATAATACTTGCTTTTTATTCAAATGATAAAACTTCTAGTCCAGATCACCTTGTGCCCTTTGTACTTGTTAACCTTGAAACATTTCACATAATATATAATCTCAAACAAAACTTGTTATGTATAACATCTTGGTACATATTTATGTATACATTATATATGTAATGATAAAAAATAACATTTATATGAGATGGATGTACCTTATTATTTAAATGTTTAATTACTTTGGGTATTGGTTAATTTTTTTTTATGTGTGAATAGACCCTTTTAAATTAGGTGATAAAATAGTATATATTTTGCCCAAGTATCTAGTTAAATAATTTACACTTAATCTAAATTAAAACTTTATTTTGTCTTTATATCAGCTTATTTGTATTTTTGTTATCTATCCTTTAATTGAGCCTAAAATAACTGAGCACTGTCATGAACATTTTGCATAACTCGTTTTCTTACAAGTTCATACAATTCCTATAAGCTATTGCTAACGTTTAATTTTAAACATAATTTTTAATGAAATACTTTTAGCAAATTATTATTATTATTATTCAATTTAATTTATTACTTTACATTAAATTAATTATTTATTTTAATAGTAGGAATCAAAGATAAATAAAAAGTTGCCTCTTTCTAAATATAATTTGTAGTAAATAGTGCAATATAAAATTAAGTAATTTTATTTTTATATCTTACTAATTATTTATTACCTAAGTTAATTGATTAAATTAACTATTTATTAAAAAATTGTAGTTGTAATTTTGACCTCGCTAACCTAAGTATATTATCTTCCTAAATGAATTATTGCAGAGCATATTGAATATTATTTCAATAATGAGTATTTGTTTATCAAGGTACTGTAGTATTTAAAATCGTTAGGAGTCAGTTTAATTTTTATAATATACAGAAAAAAGACTGATTTTCAATTTTTTTTTTATTTATTCATTATTCTTTAAGAAAAAATTATGCCTTTTTCATCAAGTTTGTGTCAGTACTCAAAATAGGTTATCTATACATTAAAATAGCAATATATCATTTAAATGTAATTATTTCAGTATTGTTACTAAAACTGAATTTATGTTTTAATTTTATTTCAAATAGATCACAATTATTTAAATGAGTTTATTAAAAATATAGTATGAGTGCTAAATACCAGTGATTATCACCGAATGATAGTTAATACAACTATGACTCTATTTTACATTTTTAAAATAACAAATTTCTTTTTTTGCAAAAAGCTACATTAACTATTCGGATGTAATATGATAAATTATAGAACCTGGTCATTTTATGTTAATATTGTAATTGATAAAAACAATTAATGTGTATCTACATTATACAAAAATAATATTTTGAACTTTGTGTAGTGAAAAATATTTAAAATTATGTAAATTATGAAATTTCTAAGTATATGATTTATTTTTTAGATTGAAATTGTAACAACCACTGACAAGAATATTGGAAAAATTAAAGTAAGAATTTTTATTGATAATATTTTGTACTGCATGCATGTATAATAATTTATTATTGTTTATGTTCAATTATATTTTAATATTTTATGTAGGCAGTGAAGATGTAGAAATTCTGGGGCCCATTATTTATGAAAATTTTTTTTTAAGTATTCTTATCATAGCAATCATGTATTTAATTTTTTAAATGAGGTGTCTATGAAATGGTAAAGAATTATTTAACTCTAATCTATGGTTTTTAAATTTTTATATTTTTATACTCAGTTGGATTTACATTTTTTAGATTTAAATTTGTAATTGTTAACTAAATTTTTCTTTTATTTTAGTATTTTAAATTATTATTTTAGAATTAATTAATTTCTTTACCAAGTTGTTCATTAATATTCAAATGAAAAATGTTATTCCATGTCCTTGATAAATACCGTATAATTTATTCAGTGTGCCTACTTGAGTTAACATTATTTGTACTAGGTAATATTTAGCTTAACAATTATTTATAAAATGTACAATGTGTACTAGTGTCATTTATAGATAATTAATAATTTCTTAGAAATTCAAAATTACATTTATCATATGATATTTTTATTTAATTTTCTATCAAGTTTTTTGCATGTAAATATCAAAGTAATTTATAAGTACCTACACTTATTTAAGATTAAAACTGAAGAATGAACTCCAAATTTAAAATCAATGAATGTGCATATTTTATTTTAATTTACAATCAAAATTCTATAGATAAATCTTTTATAATTCAAATTTTGATTTTTAATTCTTGTGATTTATAAAATTCCCATTTTCAGCATTATTAATTAAATTAGTTAAAAATAAATAAAAATAAAATTGTTTATATTATTATTATATTAGTAAAGTATTTATAGTATGATAGCAATTTTAAGTTGCTAATAATTTACGTTATAATTCTGAAGAAATGTGAGGTTTCTGTGTTAATTTTTTATTTAGAAAAAACTCCAAGATAATTAATGCTTGTGGATTAAGAGATATTTTTTTTATAAATTATAAATATTTTTAATTTTTACAGGTAACAGATGCTTCTCAGATTAGTGATATCAAGAAAAGCATAAGCAAAGTAAAGTCAGTTTTATATCCAGACAGACAATCTATCAGGCTTGAACCTAAAGGAAAAACTTTAAAGGATACTGATAAAGTTAAAGACTTAGGTTAGTATGAAAAAGTAATATTTATCAATTCAATGAAAGCATGGAATGTGTTGTTATATTTCGAAACACAATTATTTCATGTTTTTGTAAGAAATAACCATTGACTTAATAAAATCTGTAATAGTTTTTTTGATTCATAAGATAATAATTACTTTTTACATTTTTGTAATATTATAAAAACTTACAAATTTGTAATAAAAGTTATTTTTTCTTTTTTAGGATTAAAAAATGGATCAAAACTTTATGTTAAAGACTTGGGCCCTCAAATTGGATGGTCTACTGTATTTATGGCAGAATATGCCGGACCCTTATTTGTATATTTAATATTTTATGCAAGGCCTAGTCTAATTTATGGTGCTCAAGCTAATCAAAAGATGTCACACATTGCTGAGTAAGTCATTATTCATTTAATATTATAAAATTGTCTTTATTATTTATTAAGTTAAATTATTTTTAAAATATGTTATACATGTGTAAAACAATTGTTTTTAATTCTTAATAATAATAATTAAATTTAAGATGTCATATCGAATATAAGTTAATATATACATATAGATTTATTTGACCTCACTCTAAAAACCATAATTTGTGTTGTTATATGTTCATAAAAAAATGAAGACAAAAGAAGAAACATTAAAGAGATTAATCTAAAATTACTAAAAAAAAATTTTCTTTAACATATTACTATTTTTCACATAAGTTAAGATAATAAAAAAAAATTATTTAATTATAAAGTTTTTAAAAATAGAAATTTTTGAAAAAGTTATAATTATGTACATTGATTTTATTATTAATACAGAATCAAACAAATTCATAATATAGCCTTGCTTGGGCAGAAGTTGTTCTAGATAAAGGTAAAAATGATATTTCCATTTATTTTAAGATGAGTATTATAATTATGAGCATTATTTGTATGGTTAGATATCTGAAAGGGTAAAAACAGGGTTGTATAACTTGTATTATAACCATAGGTAGACATCAATGGGAGAGCTTAGAGAGACTTAGTTTCCTCAACTATTTCATTAGACCCCCAAAAATCAAAACCTTTTTTGAAATGTTATTTTTGTTAGGTATTTACGATAATTATCTGTTAATTTTTTTGAAAATTGTAAAATAATATTTTACCAACAAATGCCGCTAATAAATATTTATAAGTAAATTATTATTGTATTAAATATATTTGGATTCCAGATAAATTACATTCGATAACATTTATTATCATACTATAATATAATGGTATTTGTGTAATAATACTAATTGTACATTTTTACATGTTATTCATCTTTTTATCGCAAAACGTGTATCTATGTACATTTTACGTATATATATATATATATATAATACATTATAATAATGATAATTGTTCGTTTGTACCTACATAATGTTATTAAACCAATATTTAAGAGTTTTGTCAGAAAATCAAACAGTTTTTTCTAATTTGCAAAAACTACAATAGCATTGAAAAATCTAATCAGTTCGGCTACTTACAAAAAAAGTTTTAGTACTTTAAAAAAAATAAAAACTTGGCTAAGGACATTGAAGCTTCAGAATAAGTTCAGCAATCTTTCTATATTATATATTGAAAAAGATTTGTCCAAAAATATTAATAACGATGATATTTTAAATACCTTTACTGATAAAAACAGATATTTGTCATTAAAATAAAATTAGGGTCACTTTACATTGAATTATAAATTATAATAGCTCCCTTTAAAAATTCAACCAAATGTCTGCCAATGATTATAACCAGTATTGGATTTTCTGTGATGCAAGAGTTGCTTATCAGAATTTTATTTTTAAATTCTTTATTATTTGTGTGGTGAGATATTTTGTCACTTTTAGAACTCTAATATCATTACCTACTGAATTACTCGTAGTTTTTTGTCTTAAGCATTCATATACTTAATTAGTAATATATAATTTAAGAATTATTGTACATTAACTAAAATTTGAATTGACTATCAATAAGATATTTTTAAAATATTATATAATTTTTTAGCATATAAAATAATACATAATGATATAAGCATAGCATTTATAGAATTTATAATATTATTTATATTTTTAAATATATATTGTAAGTATTAAGGGACTTGACTATTTATGTATACAAAATAGTTACTATCAATTTTTATTGATTTTCTAAGTGTATGTAATTTTTATTTCTAATCTTATAATTCAAATTCTCTTTATCATTTTCTTAGAGTTGCTGCTTACTGTTGGTCATTCCATTATGCAAAGCGTGTGTTAGAAACATTGTTTGTGCACCGTTTCTCTCACAACACAATGCCAATAATGAATCTTTTTAAAAACTGTTCATATTACTGGGGCTTCACTGCTTTTGTTTCATACTTTGTCAACCATCCATTATATACTCCACCATGTACAATTCAATTTTACTTTGGTCTTGGTACTTTTATAGTAAGTATTGATATTAAACTTTTAAGTATCAAGATATTAATTGAATAAATATTTTTAACAATGTTACAGTTCTGTGAATTAGGCAATTTAAGCATTCACGTTGCACTGCGAAACCTTCGTCCTCCGGGTACCAAAATCAGACGTATTCCTGTTCCCACTATAAATCCTTTTACACTTCTTTTCAACTTAGTTTCTTGCCCTAACTATACTTATGAGGTTGGTAGTTGGATTGGATTTACTATAATGACATCTTCATTTTCAGGTAAATATTTGTAATTAATATTGCATTGATGATAAAAAATAATTTATATGCAATTTGTTTTTTAGCTGGATTATTTACTTTTGCTGGATTCTACCAAATGGCAATATGGGCTCTTGGTAAACACAAGAATTACAAAAAAGAATTCTCTGACTACCCGAAATGTAGAAAGTCTATTATACCATTTTTACTTTAATTTGTACTGAATGTTTTAGATAAGTTTTTTCTAGGACTGAATATGGTGGGTGTGTATTTTTTATAGGTGTTTTGGTTTGTATCTTGGGGATACTATATTATGTTTAAAATGTATTGTTGTATGTTTTACAACTGTTAATTAAAATACAAATAATTGATCAAATTGTAAATTAATATAATGTACATTTGTTGTAATAAATTAATAGCCACTTTTATATCATTAAATAATTAAATAATTTTTATTATTATTCAAATGATATGATATACTTTGTTGATGAATATTATTTCTCTATTCCATTTATAATAAACTTATTGAAAAGTTATTTTGTGTTTTGTGAATCATTTTAATTGTACTTGTGTAATATAATTTGACAATTAATAGAATAATTAAATAAAAGTAAGAGTTATTTAAATTGAGATATAAGGATATACATTGTACCTATGTAAAAAACAAACAAACTATTATAAATTACATTTTTCACATGTGTAATATATTTTATTCACACTAAATTAATGTAAATATTATGGTTACTAAAAATGTATCAAAATATTAATCAAATTGAATACATTTAATTGAATATATAATATTTAAATCACAGAATTAACTTAATTATTTACAAATATATATAATGCATTAATATAGGGACGATAATTAATAATTATTTTATAAAAACTAGTTATTAAAGTATTAATTAATTTGTTTTAAAATTTAACGAACTTCATATTCTTATACTTATGACTGTTATGAATCATGATTATAATATGTAAAAAAAGAAAACCAAGATTACAAGTTTTATGAACTATACTTACAGGTTTTTGTTTAAACTAATTTTATTGTATTTTATTATTTCTAAAATTAGATATTTGTTCATTAACTATTAATAGCTTTTTTCTTTTTATTAAAAAAACAAGTGTTAAAAAATGTTAAGTGTTATAACTGATGATGAATTATGTTTCTAATGTTGTTTTTTCGACTGAATTTAAATTCGATATAGCTCTTTGAAGATTATTATTTTTAGATTGTTTAGTAGGGGTATGAATTTTACTTCCTTTAATTTTCAAAAATGATTTTAAGTTATCATATTTCTTACAGTTTATTTTGAGTTCTTGTCTTAACTTATTAATTGTATCAATGAGGACCATATTTTCTTCTATCATTTTGTTATAGGATTCATCTTTTTTTGCACACACATTCACACGGTTTTTTAGACTAATTATGGATTGTTCTAAAAATTTCCGCTGTCTTGTAAATTCCATTCTGATATCGTATTCTTCATCTTTAGATGTTTCAAAAGTTTCTGTATTGCCATATTTAATAAACAAATCCTATAAACAAAATATTTGATTGATAACTAAAAATACTTAGTACTAGAAGGTACTGTACTATGTTCATTATTTTTATTGTTTTTGATTGAAAAATGAGGTATTTTATTTTAGAAAGTTCTATCATAAATGTTAACTGTTAATTTAAAAATAGATTTTTAATAATCATTAATTTAAATGTTTTGGTACCAGTTTATTGTAGGCGTAGATTTATCAGTAAATTAAATGTAAAACAATGCATTAATTTTGATGAATGCTTATATCATATTTATAAATCCAAGGGTTTCAATGCACACTGCACAGTAGAATATTTGGTCATTCTTGAGTGTGAAATTAAGTGATAAAAATAATGAACCTTAATTTAATTTTATATTATTATGATAATAATACACCATACAAATTGTAATTGTTATAACAAAATTTGGATTTAAAGCTATTCTCACCTTGAACGGTTACATTTGATGATCTATTTGACATTTCGTTTCACACATTCACTCTCGAAATATAAGTTACCTATTTGACTCCTTACAAAAACCGAAAAATTTCCAATCTGTTTACTTACTTTAACTGCGTCTTTTAACTTTGCCGAATTTTGGTAATGTACACTGGCGGAGTGGATGTCGACTCGGATGTTTCTAATAACTCTGTTAATGTCTCGGATCGTCTGTTCTTTTTTATCGAGTTCTAGGCCGCACGCCTTCAATTTGTCTCGTTGCTCAGATATGCGTAATTCCATTTGCTTTATTACTGTTGTCATATCTAACATTTCTGATTCCATCTGTCGTTTGCGTTCCACCAAAATGACAACAATAGTTAATAAATTAAATAAATAGTTTCTTATATATTTTCATTGCCAATATCTAAAGTTATAATAAAATTAACATAGCTAATAATAATAATAATAATAATAATAACTAACTTGTTATTATTATTATTGTACTATAGATTTTCCACTTACCTATATTGTAAACCATGTGCATAAAAATTTCTAGCCTATACTCGGCCTTATAAGCGTTAAAACCATTTTCAAAAGAATGTTTATCGAAGCAATGAAGTAGTTAACATTTTTTTTTGTATATGCTTTAAAAATAGAATAGGTACCTTTATGTATACTAATTTAATAAGATAATATCGATAAACGTATTATAACATTTAAATAATTTATTTTATTTTACAATAAAATCAAAATTAAATCAAATTTCAAAACTTAGATAAAAAAAATAAAATAGTATAATTAGAAAACCATATTTTTTATATTCAGAAGAACTAGGTATATTTTAAGATAAAATATTTTTAAAGAAAAAATTCTAATTTTTTTTCTTTGTTGAGGCAAACTTGTTAATATTAAGAAAGTCAAAGATAAGGCTATACAATAAATAATTAAAAAAATATTTATATTTATATTAATATTATAATATAATAAATTATTTTATTTTTAGAATCGTACTATAAACTATAAAGTATAAGTAACTAGGTATCTATTTATTTTTTAATATAACTTTGGTTGGTTAGATTTTTGAATAAAAGTGGGTAAACTAAGACATACCATTATACCAAGTTTATAATATACAAGATTATACTCATTGGTAACTCCAGTCTCCACTATATCGAAGCATCGTGTTTAAGTGTAAAGATGAGTAGGTAATAGATGAATGTTGTATATATAATATTTATAAATACTAAATAGGTGTATAAAATAAAAACTCACATCTTCATTAGTTTTTTGTTTTTCTTGTATTTCGGTTATTAACGGCTCGACCGTTCGTTCTAGTTCACTAACATTTTCTTTTGTCAGTAACAATTGTTTTTCTAAATCTTTCATTTTAAGTTTCTCTTCAAAAATTCGAGATTCTTTTTGCTCTACAATAACGTCACGAACTTGTATTTGCTTCTTAAGGTCAAAGATGGTCTGTTCTTCGTTCTTAACCGATACTTTCAGCTGGGCTATATCTTCTTCATATTTTTCAATTAGTCCACCCAAGTCTTCTGCTTCTTTCGACGCTCTAATACATCAACATTTTATTATACATAGGCATAGATAAATTATGAAAATAATTGTTTCAGTCCATTTTGAGCGCTGAATTTTAATATAAAGTTTACGCACGCTTTAGCTTTCATTTTATATGATCCAAGTTCGCCTCTGAGATTCAAATTAATTTTTTTCAATTCTCTCAATTTAGTCACAAAATCAGTTTTTTTCTCTAATATTTCTCGATCTGCATCTTCTTTGATTTTGTGTATAAGATCGGACATATTTTGTTTATCTTTAATCAATTGTTCTTTTAACTATAAAAAATTATTTATATATTTTATTAACTATAACTTAGTTGTATTAAAAAAGCAAACGACCTAAATGTCCTGCAGTAGGTAGATAGAAACGAGTTATTACTAATTAATGAAAATAAATATAGCTATTACCTAATGCTGTTAATTATTATTTCTTGAAATTTTAACCACTTTAAATTATTTTAGTTTATACACGTTATATACACGACTTACTCTTAAAATATTTTTATCTTTTTCATCAAGTTTTATTTTATATTGATCTACTATTTTTTGTAATTTTTCGTTTTGTTCAAATTCAGATTTATTCATATCTCTAATAAAAATGACAAGTATAAAAAAAATTAATGATCATATTATAGTTTACATAATAACTGTAATTATTAAACTTTTTCCTAATATTTATTACTTTTCCAACTCTGAATTAGTCTTAATTAACTCCTTTTGAAGTAGATCATATTTTTCGTATTCGCGTAGAAGTTTTTTATTGTAATTAGCTTCCAATTCTTCCAACTCTTGAGCATGTGAATCTTTTAGAAGATTTAATTCCATTTCTAACCTACTTTTATCTGCCATATGTTTTTTAGTTATTTCCTTAAATATAAATATAAATGCATAGTTACTTTTGTACAATCTATTAACAAGGTATATTTATTAGGTAATATATAATATGAATTATAATTGTTTTACCGTATTTTTATTTTCTAATATTTTCATAACAATTGAATGATTGTTATTTAATTCCTGGATTTGTTGTTCTTTAGACTTGACAAGTTGAGTAATTTGATATTTACTTTCGCTTTCCAATTCATTCACTCTCATTTTAAGTTCTACTATGTTTTCGATTTTATTTTTTAAATCCGAAGCATTCACTAGGATATCGTCAGAATATGCAAATTGGTCATTTAAAATAACTTTTTTTCCTTCGGCATCCTTAATTTTCCATATACATATACTGCCGTCTGTTGAACAAGTGATTAAGTTTGAATCATCAATTGTTATACACATCTGTAAAAAAAATTGTGTAATTATTAAGATTTTACAATGATGCAATGTCATAGCTTATAAACCTTGGTAATATTCTTGTTGTGCATATTAAATTCTTTGTGTTTAATTTCAGCCATAATTGGTAACATTAACGATAACACAACACCATTTTGACCTGCTACAAATAGAATTAAATCTGATCTAGATAAAGCTATTGCGTCTAATGGACCTTGGTGCAAGTCTATATCACGGATCACCTAAACATTTGTTTAAGCACATAAAAATAGATTTCTCATGGTTAGGTCTTATAATATCAACTACTTTTACTGTGTAATGTAGTTATTTATAGTCTTGTAGATATTTTACTCTTTAAGTACCTAAGTTTTTTATAACTTAATTATTTAAATTTTAGAAAATATTAAATTGAAGCTTCTATACTTCACTTATTACTTTTATTACTTGGCTATCTATACAGTTTTACAATTGTGTGAAGATTAATAAAATATTTTAAAATAAAAAGTTAACCGATTGATTATTTATTTCTTTGAATCGACCATCCTGAGCAGCTGGGAA